AGTAAAGTTACATGGAATGTTAGCTGGGTAGGAGGTAGGGTTCATGACTGGAAAAATAAACCCCCTGTGAGGAACAAGATAAATTTATTCTCCAGGGCTTGGTTGTTTACAGCCAGTAGGTTAAGATAAGACAGGGTTAGTGAGAAATTTGAATTCAACTGCCTAGCACATTGAGCACAGTGCTTGTGTACACTGTGTGTGCTTGCGAATCTAATGATTGTTGTATCACTAGCATGTGCAATCCCATGATTACTGTGACATCAGTATGACCTTAAACTCAACACCAGTTCTCTGTGGTGTCATGTTCTATCCATTTTAAAGTACACAGAACACGAGCAACCCAAGAATGTTGATAGATTCTGGAAAAACCTCGCTTTACAGATAATGAAGTGCCGCTGACCAATTGCTATTATTATATAAAATATCAATGTCTCATAAAAGTACAAAAATGTTAACTTCCAGGAAAAGAGTTGGGAAGTAAGGAAAGCATTGGAAAGAGAAGAGTTGAAGATATAAAGGAACTGAGAAGTACGATTGCCCCAGTGGAAGCAAAGGAAGTGGTAGTCTACAATTCTGGGGATGAGGACGTATGCTCTGATCTTCTTATGAAATGAAAGATCAGCTTGGAGAGGGGCAGGGAAAACACAGGGAAAATCAACGAAGGGGAAGTCGCATGCTGGCTCTACTTAATGGTAAGGCATGCAGCCAACAAACGTCTGTCAAAGACCTGATAGAGCTGGCAAAAGAGAATATTCCGAAGCCAGCAGCCACGGCTCCATCAGCTAGTCTGACCCCTCTGAGATGCTGCAAAACATCTACTGATGATGCAGCCTTATGTGCACAACAAAAGAGGGGCAAGCTAGCTTTAACTTGAACGCCTCAAACAAGGATATAAGGTAAGTTATCTGTCGGCCCATCAAGTGAATGCAGCAACCTCATGGTGGCTGCTGGGGCACTGTGCTTCTCACTGGTGGAGACCGAAAGTAGTTAATCTACTATTATTGACTTGCCACTGTTTCTCTTTCAGGGAGAATTAACTGATTAGGGACAGCATAGGGAGGCTAAATGTGTAAGAAACAGCAATACAGACCTGCCAACCCCTGATAAAGGAGAATCTGGAGACCTGTAAAAAAAAATTGGATATTCTACAAAAAGTAATGAAATACCGTTGTTCCTGATCTACATTAAAACAGGCACTAGAATTCCCCATGGAATATCCATTTTTGTTCAACAAGGTAGCATTTCATTTCAGAAAAATATTTTCCAAAAAACTGTGAGATTGAGAGTCTTGTGAGACCGTGAGAAAAGTAAAAAAAGTCACGAGAGTCAAGGCAGAATCGTGAGAGTTGGTAGGTGTGGCAATAAAATAAGACATTTTTTGGTCAATTAAAGGATCTTATATAGGTACCGTCTAAGTTATTTGGTTCGTTTAAGTGTTTAGCTGTTTCTTTTACTACAGTTAGTAAAATCCTAAGTGACTCAACGTTTTGGAATTTTTCTTTAACGCAATTAATTGTAAAAATGGTTTATTATAAGAACATCCTTGGAAAAATAGGAAACAATAAGCCATAGCATAATTTGTTTGGTACATAGACTGCCTGATTGGACATGAAATTCGAATACAGTGAGAAAAATACTGACATTTATGGTCTTTCTACAGTCCTAATTATGATAAAAGTATTATCCTTCATTATGAATGAGTGCTGACTCCCATATTAAATTAACAGGGATGCTTGGTTCTCATTAAAGTGTTGGATTTACAGGTTTTGATCTAACCTCGTTCCCAGGTTCTCTTTCCTTTCCATCGAGAGACCCTGGTTGGGTCTGGTCATGTAACTCCTAGAATATGGGATTGGTAGAAGAGAACCCTGGGAATGATGTTAGTTTTGATCTCATTGAGGGTGTTTAGGACAAATAACCAATAATTTTTACCCATACTGGCACTTCTTGAGATTGTGGGTAAAGAAATTAATGTCCATACAATTTCATAAGGATTCAATTCAACCCTGAATCAAACCCGCAATGTTCTCTTTTAGCGATTTCACTCTAATTTTTTAATATATGTGAGCATTTTTTAATATATGTGAGCATCTTGTCATTGCCGGTCAAAACTGTATCCATGTCGTCACGCGATCCGCCTTGGATGACACCACTCCTTAAGTCAATGATCAGAACGAAGTCTAGAGTTTCTCGTCTGAGCAAAGACAGGCTGTGCATTGTTAATAAAAGAATAGCTGACATCATCTCGGAAAATAGGAGAAAGTTTATGGATGCCCCTCCAGGTAGTCGGGCATGGTGGAAAGGAGTTGATGAATTGTCGCAGCGGCGTCGTGCATCCTGCAAAGTAAACCTGGATAACAGCTGTCTGATGGACTTGAATGATTACTTCGCTAGGCTCTGCTCAGATGATATGTACATAGAACCAACCCCTGTCACAATCAGCAGTGGCATGGAGATCCCGGTAATTTCCGAACGGCAGGTCTGGAATTTACTTAGCGTTCTCAAAAGAACTGCGACTGGACCCGACCAGATTCCTTACTGGGTTTGGAAAGAGCATGCTGAGATTTTCACGCCTCTTATCACCAAAATCTGGAATCTCTCAATCTCTACTCAGTGTTTGCCATCATCGTGGAAGCGTGCGATCATCACCCCCCTCCCCAAAGTGGATGTTCCTAAAGCACATGGTGATTATCGCGGCATTAATATAACTCCTGTTATAGCGAGGGCTTTTGAGAAAATTGTGTACCACTGCTATGCCCGCGAGACAATTGAAAGCCACCTCAGCACCTCACAGTTCGCCTACAGAAAAGGTGGAAACTGTACCGATGCTCTCTTGTCAATTCAACATAGGACCAACAGCTACCTGGATAACCCGGATTGTAAAGCAGTTCGCCTTTTTGCTATGGACTTCAGCAAAGCTTTTGACTCTGTGAAACATGAACTTCTTGCTAGTAAATTAAAAAAGCTCCCACTGAATCCATATATTACCAATTGGTACTTGAACTTTTTAAAGGATAGAAAACAAAGGGTATGTTGTAACAACTTTGAGTGTGACTGGAAACCGGTCAACCAAGGGACAACTCAAGGTAGCGTTAGCGGTCCTTACCTTTTTAATATCTTCCTCAATGATCTTAACATCACTTTAGGTAATCATGGCGCGCTATTTAAGTACGCTGATGACTCGACAATTATTGCTCCTGTATGGAAGGAGGTAGACTACTCCGATCAGTTAGTGTCACAGTTTTTAGATTGGACGAATACAAATGGAATGTCTTGCAACCCAAGCAAATGTAAAGAGTTGACGATCAAAAAGAGAGGCAACCACGATCTCTATTCACCCATTGGGATGATACCAAGCTGTAAAGAAGTTGAGATTTTGGGCGTCACCTTCCAATGTGACAGCAAATTTTCAGTGCACGTGAAGAACAAACTTATTAAAGCTAACAAATCCCTACATATCCTTAGAACGCTGCGCAAAGAAGGGTACAATCAGTCAGAAATAGACCTTCTCTTTAATACTATAGTTCTACCTAATATTAATTACGCATTATCTGTCTACGCCGCGTCCGAGTCCGATCTTACACCCGTACAATGTTTCTTAGACCGCTGTTTTAAAAGGAAATATACGTCTAAGCCTGTAAGTGTTTATGATTTCTTAGAGAGGCAAGACCGTAAAATTTTTAAAAAAGTTTTTAATGCCAAAGGACACCCACTTTTATCTATTATGCCTCGTGTTAAACCCTCCAGCTACAATCTTAGAAAAGAAACTAGTTTTAAACCTAAGATTAACACTATGCGCTTTAAAAACTCTTTTATTAATCGTTTAGTTTTTAAATATGAATTAGCTATGTAATATACTAGATATATATACCGGTATATACTTTTTTTTTTATTTCTTACTTTTTAACTTTTTAAATTTCTTACACTTACTTGTAACAAAAGATATGTATTTTTATCTCTTGATGAATAAAGACTTTATTATTATTATTATTATTTTTATGTGGGATTTTAATTCCCCCATCACTCTGGTTTCTCTTGGCGGCCCGAAAGCCCAGCTAACATTTTAGGCTCAACGCAAAATATTGAAATTCAAAATACCAAGTGTAGTGCTAGTATAGGTCACACAAACCAGTAGATCAATAACAAATGTGTTAATTATCACTTCATTCCCAGAATAAATAATGAATCTTGTACTAAATTTAAAATCTGCTGATGAAATTCTGTGGTGTGACTATTAAAATGAAACCTGTTTAGCATTACTCTCACCAGGTGCTATCTGTTTTTTTCAGCATTTTACAAAATAAAATTCTTAACACAAAACTTTACCTTACATGAAAATTGATAAATTACAAGTACAGACTATTTGGAAATAGCGGAGCTAATTGAAGCAGGTAGTATGATGATGCGTCACTTACACTTAAACTACAACATTAATACAGAGAAAGTTATGGTGTACCATCTCCGCCAAAAAGCAAACTTGTAACTCAACATCCAACTTTACCGTTGTCAACATCGGACTTTACAGTCAACATAGAATTTTGTTGTTATCAACAACGGACTTTACAGTTGTCAACATCGAACTATTGACTCAACATCCGACATTACAGTTATCAACAGCGGACCATTGGCTCAACATCGGACTTTAGTTGACTATTTGTAACTCAACATCCAACTGCACAGTTGTCAACATCGCACTATTGACTCAACATCCGACATTACAGTTATCAACAGCGGACTTTGTCACGTCAACAAAACAAAATGTTCGACTTTGCCAAACGCCATGTTCGTCTACGTAAAGTTCGATGTTGAGTTCTCTTCGTGCGTGCCAAATCCGCCGATAATTATGGGATTGCCAGAATGACGTCACTATGGCAAAGCCTCGCTCTCGTGTGAACTGTTCTTCCACGTGTTGCGGCCGCGAAGATTTCAGTAAGATTTCAGCAAGATTTAGCAAGATTTCAGCGCGATTTCAGCAAGAAATTAGCAAGATTTCACGCTAAATGGCAAACGGCAACAGCCACGGCAACAGCCAGTTAAGCCGACTAAAAAACACACTACTACAAGTGGCAGAGAGACTCGAATCTTTGGAACACCATGATCGTGAAGGTGAGATAACTGAGCTTGAGCTTAAAATGTTTCGTAGCTAGCGCTATTTTTCGACTAATAATACTTGAAGGTGCCTTATAATGCTGTTATCCCGACGTTCTATCGCAATCGGTGAAAGATTTCCGTATAACCCCATCAATAGTTATGCATACCGTTCTTAAAACTGAAACAAAAGCCAAAACAATAGAACTCTAAAAGCAAAAAAATAGCACACATACCTAATTAATGTCACCATGGGGTTAGTTATGCAATGAAACATAACAAAATTTGGTAAACTTACTGATTGTCATGCAATCTTCCTGATGGTGAGATTAATTTTTTGTTATGAAGTTAATTTGAACAATGTGTAAACTGGGGCCCAGTCCCTTTTTGAACTTCGGAACGGGCAATTGGGAACACTAATTAATTATTGGAATTTGGAAGTGTTGGTTTAATAACACAAAGTCAGCTTCACAATAAAAGTAAGAATAACAAGAAAATGGAATGGATGTATAATGCCAAAAACATATACTAACCTTCAGTTATGCAAACTTACTGATTGCATGCTCTAAGAGAAGGTACACTGAATAAAAATTAGAGGGCCAGATCCTTATGAAATGAAATGGACACCCTGAACTGGTTACTGTTGAATACTTTCAGGTGCTACTAGCACTAATATTGCTAGTGCTGCAACAGCAAGAACCTCATCCCACGAGGATGCAAGAGCAATACCAACTGCAACACCTGCTGGAACAGCTGGGTCATCATGTATTGGCAGCATTCCTGGTCCTTCAGGAACAACAAGAGCTGTGCAACCAACAGCAAACCTAAGAAATTCTGTCTCTGCCGCAGCCTCAGCTCAAGAACATCGAAGGCTGTTCAATTACAAAACATCTTATGCAAACACAAAAAAGAAAAGCAAAAGACCTGCACCAACTTGCACTCTGAAGTTTTTATGCATGGCAAAGTGTGATTCAGTGAAGCCACCCTTAACTGTAATGGAGCGCACACAATTGGTTAATGCCGGTCTTGGAGACTGCAGCATACAGTTTGATCTTTCCCAAAGCACTCTTGAGTGTCATGAGAGAATAATTCAAACATTTCCAAAGCTTGGCACAGTGGGGTACGAGCTCTTGCTTTATCAACGTGGTAAGGATTGTGGCTTTTACCATGTAGCTCCCCCACATACCCCAAAGCGGTTAAAGGATGCCTGTGGAAATTCAAAGATTTATATCAGACCCCTTCAGAAAGATATTGAGCTGGAAGAGATTGCTGTTGAAGAAGAGGTAAATTTTGTATATAGTTTGTTATACTCATTGAAATATATTCCCAATAAAACTACTGTAGTACGGAAAGTAATTGATTGGCATTGACCTTTTTCTTCCTCACCTCATTATTATTTACCCTTACTTGCATCTGGCAACTCGTGCATACACGTAAATGAAAATTATACATGTACCTTATATGTTTATAAAGTTACATTATGACCGTTGTCTTATTTAATAAGATACTTGTTATATTATTTTAGGCTCAAGACTGTCCCATTATTTTGTGTTTAAAGTGTGGCCTTCCGGTGGCCATGATGGAGATGAAGAATCATCACCAAAATACTTGTATTGTTCATGAAAGCCCACAGAAAAAGGTAAGAAAGTCGAAGGCTTGTTAGATCGATGTGAAGCCAGCCAGTTGACTGAGTTAATTTGTTAATTTTTGTGACAGTAATGTTTCTTTGATACACTGTACTGTGAGACCTTTTCGTATGTATTCAATAGTCATTAAGCAGTGTTACCCTAAAGAAGAAATATTTTTTTATGTTAAAACAGAATCCAGGCATACACTGTTTTACTACATCACTACTTTTTGCACTTACAGAAGCAAAGGACTGAGTCCTGGATTGACAATAATGTTGACAATAATGTTGACAGGTAAAATTGTTATTATTGTTGTCACTCTGTGCCTTCATAGATCACAAGTATTGTGGGTAATTATACATGTATATATTGCAAGGTATTACACCTGTTTACATATGCTGTACATGTACGTTGCATTATTACAAATTATGATTTATAGGTTTACTAAACTATTAAATTAAATTTAATTTCCAAAAAAAAAAACCCGCAATATTGCCTTACCGTTAGCATTTCGTATTCACGGGTTGGCTCGAAGAAGCCTTTGATTACATCTATCTATACTCACACCTATATCTGTTTGCGCATGCACGTATAACGAGCTGAAAAAAGGAGTCTCAAAAGAATAATTGTCTATACATTTTTTTTGTATCATTTTGTAGCTCTGAAGTTTCTGTTACCGAAGACAATTCTACATGTGTTCTACAAGAACACCGTCCTGGTGCTAGTGGGGAGGATATTGAAGGTAAGCTCTGCTGAACATCTGGAGGCAATCCAAATATTTCTGCCCAGAACCTACTTAAGCTTGGTGGTAAACTATGACATCATTTAAAAGTTAATGTTATATAATTCATGATGTATTAAGCATTTATGTCCTGCAAAATTATTATGCAGGCCATTTAATGCCCAGTCTTAAATGACTTGAATGTGTAATTTACAAGGATAAACTCTTGCTCAACACTTTTGTAGCAGATGTAGCTATCAATGCGACAGCAAAATATGAACTAGAATCAATACAAATGAGCATGTTCTTTATCTAGGATCACCATGCAATGCAATGTTATACAACACGGATGCACCCTGTTCTATGAGCCGTCTGTCGAATGGTCGTATTGTGATTTCAGGTAGCCTGCAAGCCCTTCATGGGATATTCCCTGGTAAAAGCAAGGACGAATTAAAGATTCCTCTCGAGTCAGCTGGTTATAATGTTGAAAGAGCTGTTGCACAGATTCTTAATGATGATGATGATGATAGTGGTAATTGTCTTGAAGTTTCATGCCTTGGTCTTACAAATGAGCAAAACATTCGTGGTGCTGGTAAATAATGTTGCTTATATGGCTTGTTTATAAGAAACTTTAAAATGTTGTCGTCACTGACTAAGATCTTCAAAATGGAAAGTTTCAATTTTAGTAAGTGACCAGAACATTTTTAAGTTCCTATTAATATGTTTGACGGCATTTTTATGGTATTTTGTATAGCTTGTTTGATTTCTTCAGTTATTTAGTGAACCATATGACCTTACCAGAGAAAGAGATTTTGTTTTCCATTTGTACCTTAATTCGAAGATAAAAGACATAAAGGCTTTAATTTTGTGACCCCTTTTAAGCTGTGAAAAGGAAGCATCCCTGGCATCTCCAGAAGATGTGATGGCTCAGTTTAGGTCCATGACTATAACAAGCGGTACACAGCTAATAGACTTCAACAGAATGCACAGATCCATGCTTCAACAATTAATGCGTCTGTACAAAGATCCTACAATTGATATTCGGAAATCACCTGACGTAACCTTTTTGGGAGAGATGGCAGCAGATCTTGGAGGTCCTACAAAGGAGTTCTTTCACGTTGCTATTGAGGCCCTCGTGAAAATGGATCCTTTATACCGAATGCAGTTATTCACAGGCGAGCAGGGTCATTATGTCCCAATATGCAACATGGATGCTTTATCAAGCGGCTGCTTCGAGATGGTGGGCCAACTGTTAGCACACAGCTTTTTGCATGGTGGGACTGGACTGGTTGGTCTGGCACCTGCCGTAGTAAAGTACCTAACATGTGTAATCATCCCTGATTAATGTGCAAAATGTTCTTATTTAGTTAAAAGAATGAAATTTAATTCTTTATTCTTTTAACTAAATAAGAACAGTTTGCACCTTAATCAGGGATGGGAATTAGCACCCACCCTGGAAGTCTTAATCCTTTCAAGCAAGTAGGACTATTGGGGATTTTTGTACAATTCTGAAAGTCACTCAGCCAGATGCTATGCTATGCATGCAGTTCATGTTATTCAGGTCCCAAGCTTTTTTTCTTTTTTCACAATATTGAGTGTCCAGAATTGTGCCAACTGTATTCACCACTTTCATTGTTCATTTTCACTCTCCTACAACAATTTAATTTTGAACTTATTTCTCAACCTTATTAGTTTGTGGTTCCCATCAATGTGCCAAAGAGCAAGGGGAGAATGCACATGGTATTGTCTCCTTCTTATTGCTACGGTCCACCTCTGCCAAACTCCCACAGGGTCTGTTCTGATAAGAGATTGACGTATTCGCTCCCTCTGAACACGGTGCCCTTGACTCTGGAGTAGACCTTTAAGCATACGAATGCCAATGTTGGGGTTGCTGTTTTGGGCAGCTGTGACCAGTTCATCAAGTTGTTCATCAGGGATATGACTGTAACATCCTTTAGAACGTCAATTAGTTAAAATTTGACATGATACAATGTAAACACCCTGGAAACAAGGCAACTTTATGTGATTCCTAAGGGTACCTATTTGATATGCTAGATTACTTTTGGACAATATTTTTGTATTTTGGTAGAATTTTGCACTGAAGGCCCGGACACACGGTGCAACATTCTTCACTCAATGTGGTTACACGCTGCAACATTTCCTGGCTTTTCTCTACTATACAAGATACTGCAACACTAGCCAATCCTAAAACAGTCAAATATGTCAAAGAAGAGCTAGGAATTTAGTTTTAGACAATAAAAATTTGCGGCTTGCAATGTTGCAGAAGTAGTACGTGTTTCTACTTAACTTATATCCAATATTGCGTGCAACAATTTACTCATTGCGCGCAATGCGGCACCGTGTTGAGCCTTAATGCAGCCATCTCTCATTACTTACTTAAGTTTCTTTTTTTCATTCAATAAATTTCGAATTTCTGATGACATGGGTGCACTTTTATCATAAGAGGAATTCTGGGGGTGGGGGAAACATCCCATATATTCTCTTAAGGGATGGACCATTTTATTTTTCATTTTTTTGGGGGGGGGGCGGGGGAGTTGGGCAATTTTTTTAACATCAATTTTTTTCCGTCTTGTGGCTGTGCACTAATTTTTTTCCGGGATTGTTCCAAATTTTTTTTTTCTTTTGGTTCGTTGCGTAAGTGAATTATCTTTTACTACTTTTGCTGTGCATGTTGGAATTTTATTTCGGAAATTGCCCCAACCCCCCCCCCCCTCGGCCAAAAAAATATCATAATAAAATGGTCCATCCCTAAATCGAATCGAAACCATGCTCTTTGCAAAGCAATCATCACAATTTTGGCCAGCGAATTCATCACCTGCGTGTACGTAGCAGTACTTACACAATGTGAAAAATACTATAATCTGATTATTCATCTAGGCACTTCCATCACCGGCCGTCGTGTTTTTCTTACCAGTAATACTAAGACCAAAGACAGCCATCCTTCTTTCCACTGTTCGCTTTCCCACTCCAAGAATACAACTTATTTCCTGTACTTTGAAACCATGTTCCAATAAAAATGCGAGATGATCCCTGGAGATCTCAAATGATGGCCTACCACGCTGACCTGACGCAGAACACGGAGGATAGTATCCTCCACTCGCATTCGCGGAGCTCTCCATAGCAGCAGCAGTTGAGTGAAGAGTACCGATGGTATCAATAATGTCCTGGTCAACGTCGAGGCTGACCAGCATTCTATTTAAGAAATCGAGTCGCACAACAATAACCCCAATTTCAGATACATCGGAGAGTGCATCAATTCTCGAGACTAGATCATTCAACATGTCAATAACACTCCTCAAGTCCGCCATCTTTTTTCACACGAGAGCGAGGCTTTGCCATAGTGACGTCATTCTGGCAATCCCATAATTATCGGCGGATTTGGCACGCACGAAGAGAACTCAACATCGAACTTTACGAAGACGAACATGGCGTTTGGCAAAGTCGAACATTTTGTTTTGTTGACGTGACAAAGTCCGCTGTTGATAACTGTAATGTCGGATGTTGAGTCAATAGTGCGATGTTGACAACTGTGCAGTTGGATGTTGAGTTACAAATAGTCAACTAAAGTCCGATGTTGAGCCAATGGTCCGCTGTTGATAACTGTAATGTCGGATGTTGAGTCAATAGTTCGATGTTGACAACTGTAAAGTCCGTTGTTGATAACAACAAAGTTCTATGTTGACTGTACAGTCCGATGTTGACAACGGTAAAGTTGGATGTTGAGTTACAAGTTTGCTTTTTGGCGGAGATGGTGCACCATAGAAAGTTACATAAATAATGGTAATTGAACTGAGTGGAGTGCAATTTGGTCTGAAATCATACGCGTGATTTCAAAATCGAACGAGCGAGCAGCGCGAGTTCGATTTGAAATCACAAGTATGATTTCAGACCAAAATTGCTCGACACGAAGTTCAATTACCAATTTATTACATCCATTTTGAAATTGCGGAATTTAGTCAGTACTAATATTTTATTGATCGAGTAGCCGGTTTGTTAAAAAGCCGAAACAAAAAGACTTTTACATCTCATTTTGTATTCGAAACAGAAATGATGCGATATATAGAACAAAAATGGTAGGATTTAGAACATGAATGACGCGATTTGGAACAGATGCGATTTAGAGAAAAAAATGGTACGATTTAGGAATAAATCACACTGCTGAGAGCCAATCAGATTGCACGGATAGCCAGTGATTTCAAAGTGGATGTAATAATAATAAATATGGTATTACAGATTGGATACAATAATTAGTAGTCAAGCTTATAAAAATTGGGAGCTGAACACTTCAGCAGGGGATAATCAAAAAGCTAAGAACATTGCGTTTCAGGAGCTTAATTTAAGCAAACCAGCATGAGATGAGAGAAAAAAAATTTGGTGATCCCTGTTTTACTATGGTCTATTTTATAAATAAACTTTTTTATAGTCCCTACTAGTACCAGAAAAGGTAGTACATTGTTTTTTGTTTTTCAAATACCCTCTCAATGCAGTTTATCTAGAGAATGAATGGTTTACTCATGCACGAATTCACCTGTCAAAATTTCGAGCAATGTGCGAAGAGATTTACATCACAATGTCACGTTGTACTAAAGTTGATTAAATTCACTGACTTTTCGCCTCCACGAAAATATATACCGAGTATTAACTAACTCCCGTGCAACGAGCATCCACTCATAGAGATTACAATTTTGAGATTGACCCTAACGGTGGCAAAAAGTAAGAAGTCTGAGAAAACTGTTTCCTCCCCTTGTTTCTTTGTTTTCCTCAAACCTCAGTCGATATGCTGTAAAAATAAAGAACAGTACAGCAGGATGGCTACCCTGCAATCAGTGGTTTCTCCAGGCTGGACGCATTAGAAGGGCAGAATGTTATTTTTCATTACACGACTTACTTCGGTCGATGACAGAGTTGATTAACAAGACAAGTCAGACAAAAACAATGCAAAAATTTAGACCACGAAATGATTTAGACTTACTAAAGCAACTTTGCTCCAGCAAAGTCTTAGTGTGTTCAGTGCTATTGAACACCTTATCTTCATTGTGCATTAAAGTATTTATTAACTATTTAGTCATACCAAAAGAGCGTTTTTTCTTACGTTTTGCCAGTGTAACAAACAAGTGTTTTAGTTAACATTGACGTTTTGTTAAACCAAACAAAAATGGATGTTTAAGGACGTTTGCAGATAAACTACTGCCCACGGCCCTTTTGAATGGTTTCCTTTTTTACAGGTTCACACAAGTGAAAATTCAGATCTGAAAGAACACTGTAGCGTGTACGCATTAAGTAGCCAAACACAAACAGAATTCAAACAGCAGTGTAATCATCGCCATGATGAGAGGTGTGAGGAATGTAAAGCCGTAGAATCAACACAGGCAGGTATTGAGCGACTGATGTAAGATGCATTTCACCCTAGTGAGGATGACTGTGATGAAGCGCTCTATCCAATTCGGACAGCACAACATGCCATTCATACCTGGAATTGCCACCAGTTAAGGGCTGTTCGACAGGACCAAGGCAGGTCGGATGAGTACACTGTACTAATTGTGACCCTCCACAGGATTTTAATGCTAAAGGTGAAAGCACGCGCACGACACGCTTTCACTTTAAAACAAAAGAATTTATTTTAACACGCTTTAGCACGCTTTCAATCTTGCCTCATTAGCAATTTCTTTTGTTTCAGAGGACACGCTTGAGACAATTAAGCGTGAGCAAGTCGAACAAAAGAGCGTGTTAAAGTTTTCAAACAAAAGCTCCGTGCGAAAAAACACAACACGCTTTCAGTATGCGCAAAAGGACGCAAGGCGTGTTATCTATAAGCTAAATAAATTTCCTCTACAAAAACGAACCGTAAGTATTATGAACGGCACCCTTTTTTGGTAACTATCGAGAAAGAAAAAGTTATACCTCCGCGATCGCAGCGATAGTATCTGATTGAAAAAACGTTGTCCCTTGAAAAGTATAAAAAGTGAACGGTGGGACCTACTGGATTTATGGGTAGAACTATATTAGCATTGCAAAATCAAAGTTCTTTGCAGAAATATTTACTGACGAAGCTGTGCAAAGGTTATCTTAACTTTCCTTAATTTAAAACACATTTGCAATTTTCTCAGAAACAATGATCTTTCGGACTTAAGTCACTTTCTTGCCGATCGCAGCAATCGCGATCAAATAGAAATCATCAAGTGCCAGGATCGCCAAATTGTATTTCTTTTTTAGCGATTGCAAGGATCGTAGTGATCAAATGAAGACCAGCCTGCATGGAACGGTCATCTAGAAATGGTTAGCCTTCCTCAACCTATAGAAAATTCTAGGCAGTTTTTGTTTTTCCGATTTAATTACCTCCGTTCATCTCAACAAGGCTTAAAGAAATATATTAAACTAGTTTATTCAACTTCATTTCTCTGTGCATTACTGCTAATAAATATTCCGGTGGCATAACTATAATTTTCAGGCGACATAACTTCAGTGCCTCGCATGTGATAGCTGGCCTCTTTGTGATTCCGGTCAACGGCCGACAGCCGGAGGAATTGGTTTACACTGATCTCGCGTTAATTCCAGGCTAGACCACCATTAAGTCATGATTTTCAAATGGATACGGTTACGATCAAACTCCAAAACAGTCTCAATTGGTATATTTGATTCACTTAGACCAGTTATCAATGCTGATTAAATCTAATGAAAGCCCAAGCCATTTTATCATCTTAGCACTTTTAGTAATCAAGCGTGTTCAGCGTGTCTTACCCAAATTGCACGCTAAGCGTGCTATAATTCGCACACTTACCGTGACATATGACACGCAACAAAAAAACAAAAGGTCTAGCGTGTTAAATTTACCAAAACAAAGGCAAGTGTGTCCGTCTTTGTTTTTTCAATTTAATATGCGCATATCCGTGATCTACGGCACGCTAAGCGTGTCGTGCAAGCGTGTCGTGAGCGTGCTTTCACCTTTAGCATCAAATTCCTGTGGAGGGTCACAATTGTAAATGACTGGGCCATTAAATTCCTTTGTCACATGCATTGTGAATCGTAAACCAGATTGGATGCAACGAGGAAAATTTCATGGCACATTTCTGTTGTCTATTGCAGGTTCCTTTGTGAGCTACAATCGCAAGCATTAATTCACCACATACAGTGCTGGAAACAAGACGGCTCTGCAGTCATCTTCATAATACAGCATGTACTTTATTCACTATCCTCTGAGCACCCTAACATCACCAAGGCAGTTCTTCACCAAGACAACGCTGACTGCTACCAATCCTATGCAACACTTTTCGCCTTTCCTTCCATAGAGGCTTCAACTGGAAAAGAGTGGCAAGTGTAGATTTCAAGGAGAGAAGGGAGCAGCTGACAGAATGACTGCAGCAGCAAAGTCTCACATTAGGATACTCATAAATGAGGGCACTGATGTGACAAATGCAACGCAAATGAAAGACGCTGTGCTTTCGCATGAGGGAGTCAAGAGTGTTCAGATGGTTTGGAATCAGCATATGTTGTTAGGGTGGCTGGTCACGTGTGAAAGTCCTCGGTTGTCTTTTCGGTGCTACTTAAGTAATGGCTACAATCAACCAGGTGAAGAAGCTTCTAAAGAAGGAGCTTTCACCCTTCCATTCCAAAATGGAAAATATGATCACAACGTTTAATAAACTAAAAGTTTGAGTTAATTTCTCAGACAAGTATGGCGATCTACAGACTCAAATCAAGCAATCGAATAAAGAGTTCAACAGCAGAAAATAGAATTACGCAAAGTAAACTTCTTCTGCCTAAACTCACATCGTTCAAAACTTGTCAATACTACTTTTTAAATAATAAATTGTGGTGTATGACGTCATACCACGTGCTCTTGCATCACACTCTTAGAGTGGTTTTCACATTCTTTTGTGTATTTCGTTGGGAGAATAATAGGTCTGTTGAATTTCTGAAGCTCAATCTTACGCCTTACAGAACGACGCAATACGTAACAGTGGTGACGAAGTACACCCAGCAAACGAACAGTCAACATCGACCAACGAGGAATTACCAGAATTATGGACGAACACGGCTTTTAAACCTCCAACATCAGCAAGTGATATGGCAGGCAGACCACCCTTTGATACTTTTAATTCTGGGCCGGGTTGTTTGAAGCTGGGTTAAGATAACCCAAGCTTAAAATCCAAAACTTGAACTCGGATATGAGAGCTTAAAAGCAAATCCAGTTTAATTCTCTTTGCCTAAATTATGATGACTGGATACTCTAAAAAGAATAGAGAAATATTCAAGAAAGTGCTTTTGATCAAAAGAAAAAGAAACCCAGTTTAAAACTTTACCCCAAGTTAGCGTTGATCTCCATTCTAACAACTAGGCCCTGAGTCTTAAGATATCGAGAGTTACCTTTAGCCGTTACAAGAATATTTCACTGCTAACGATATTAAGAACGATTCAGACAATGCCACTAAGTGAAGAGCGATACTTCTTACATCTATTGGCAGCAGTGCTTAGGAGTATGGAAAGATTTATCCTTCCCAGAAGAGCCAGACAGGAATACCTACGACCAGCTGGCAACTCTACTGCAGGGTCATTATAAGCCCACTTGTTTAAAAGTGGCAGTAAGATACTGGTTCCACTCTGCAAGCCTGAAACCAGGGCAAAGTATCGTTGACTTTACTCCTTGCTAGGACGTGAATTCACAAACAAACATTTAAATGATAGTCGACACGATTGATTCACTTGTGGGCTTCATTGGGAGCAGATTTAATGGAAATTGTTATCCGCTGACTTCACCTTCAAGAAAGCCATGGACGCTGCTATCACCCAAGGAATGGCGCAGAAAGATGTACGAGACGTTAGAGAGACATCCAAAGGTGAAAAGTCGTCTTTGAATGTGAACAAGGTTAAGCATGACAACGGGTCATCACACAGTCGCTTGTCAGGCCGACACATGGCAGTAGTGGGAAACCTCTGTAAGAGACACAAAATAAACGTTATATGGTGTGGTCTTCGGTGACCGCACACAAAATATCGCGGGCGCTCTTTCCCACGAAAAAGCACATGTTTTGTTATGGAGTTATACTGTCGTTTCAGTAGGACAAGTTTTCCTTTCCATTAAGAAGGCACAATAACTTGTAAGTATGCAGTATTTTCGGTTATTCGGTCAATATCATCTTTGTAATAGTCGCGTTGTTGTTATTTCAGCGAATCTTTCTCTTTCACGTGCAATTTGTGAATGGAATGAATACAAGTTATGTGCAGATTAGAAACGAACTAGCAAGTGAACAACTGATTAAAGTACAGTTTCAAGTAGCTATGAGTGGACGCTACATCATTCGAAGTTATTAATTTCAAGCAGTACTGTGGTTAAAGGAACGGAATGACTGGCAAGAATTCGAAGAGCAAGAAATCGAAAAGTGGTGCTAAGAAAGGTGGACACGAGCAAGCAGCGACTCACGTGACTCCACAGAAGGAAAATGTTCCCGATTCGGCGCCAACAGAGAAATCGCCTCAGCGCACGTTCCAAGGTGATGAGAATGGTGGATTAGAGCAAGTAGGGCCATCATTAAGAAGTGGAAACGTGGAATTTGGTTTCTATGGCGAGGATCCGGTAGAACAAGGCAGTAGTTCCAGGCCTGTTAGATTAAGGGAGCCGAACAAAAGAATAGATGAATTGGAAGTTCGAGTTGAGAAAGCGGTTCATGCGAAGCGTCAGCGAAACTGGTATCTTGGAGAACTGCGGAAACGGCGAAATTGTGTACAAGAACTGATTTTAAGCCCTAGCACACAGATAAGTGGAGTGGCAGCCGAGATTTACAGGTATGAAGAAGCATTTCGTAACTTTGTTGTCAGTCATGATAATTACTTCAGCTTTGAAGATGATGAAGAGAAAAAACAATTTATTATTGACAGTTATCAGAATGAACGAGAAATGAAATTACAGTTAGAAATCCTCATAAATCAGTGGAGGAAAAAGGGAGTAGGTACCCCTCCTTCTGAATCTGGATTGAGCCATGGGTCTGACAAGAGCGAGAGAAGTTGTGTGTCAAATAGAAGCAGTGTTAAAGAGAAGAGAAGGGTGGCAGTAGAAGCTAAATTAGAAGTGCAGACCCTAAAGGAAAAGCAGGAACTAGAACGCAAATTAGAAGAAGTAGAAAGAAGTAAAGCAGAGTTAAACGGGAAATTAGAGCTGTTGAGTGCTAAAACTAAGATGGAGCAGGCGGAAATTGACTTATTGCTGGAGTGCGGCGAAGAGAATGAAGCAAACGATGGGATGAATGATTACTTAAAAGAGCATAGTGCCAATTATCCTCCTGCGAAGGGGCATTTGTCACTGTGGATGCGCGCTCAACATTCTATTGCGAGTAAGCCGCAAACACTTCCAGGGTGTCTAAGATCTCATGAGCAAGGTATCCCTAAAGGTTTTTGTGTCAAATTTCATAGAGGTGTCCAATGTGTCCCTGGTTGTGCTTTTAAGCATTTATGTTACAAATTCGAAGGCCTTCAAAAAGCCAGTCAATGTAATTTTCGTTCCCAAAGCAAAAACACTGGGAAACAATCTTTCCTGCCAAGTCCCAACCTTCAAAGCCTTACCTTGCCAACACCCATAAATGCGGAAAGGTTGGTATTCCTTCTTTCTGGTAGGTTTTAGCGAAGGTTTTGCTATACACTACGATGGTTTACGTGAGGCATCAGATGCCAAAAATTTAATTTTGGCCTTGGAAAATCCTGATGTTGTGGATATCAAATAAAAAAGGAACTTGATGCCGGCCGTTTGTCTGGTCCTTTCATTGCTCATCCCTTTCACCCTTTCCGCATTTCTCCCCAAGGAGTTGTGCCGAAGAAGACTCCTGGGGATTTTCCGTCTTACACACAATCTACCTAACCCCAAAGGTTTTTCTGTGAATGATAGCATCTCCTCTGACCATAGTAGTGAATGTTATGCCACTACTCAGGATGCTATTCACCATATAAAGACCTTTGGTCCAGGATGTTTTTTGGCTAAGACAGACATAAAGAATGCTTTTTAGATTATTCCTGTGCATCCAAAAGACTACAATCTTTTGGGTATGAGATGGCACGAGGTATATTAGTAGTGATAAGAAGGATGTCCATTGGTACCAATGGTACAATCGGTACCAATAGAAAAGCACATCAATCCAATGGTTCTATTACTAGATATGCATCTCATTAAGGGCACAGATTATTTTCTATTTGATCTAGCTGGGTACAGGGCAATTCCAATGGTCCATTGGTACCAATGGTGCCATTGGTATCAATAGAAAAGCACTCCATCCCAATGGTTCTATTCTTGGTGAATATGCATCTCATTAAGGGCACTTAGATTATTTTCTCATGTGATCTAGCTGGCTACAAGGTAATTACGATGGTCCATTGTAGGATTGGTACCAATAGAAAAGCACATCATTCCAATGATTCTATTGGTGAATATGCATCTCATTGAGGGGTCCTAGATTATTTTCCATATGATCTAGCTGGGTACAGGGCAATTTCAATGGTCCATTGGTACCAACGATGCAATTGGTACCAACAGAAAAGCACGTCATTCAAATGGTTCTATTGGTGAATATGCATCCCATTAAGGGGATTAAGATTATTTTCCATGTGATCTAACTGGGTACAGGGCAATTCCGATGGTCCTTTGGTCCTAATGGTGCGATTGGTACCAACAGAAAAGGATGCCATTCCAATGGTTCTATTGGTGAAAATGCATCTCATTAAGGTCATTTAGATTATTTTCTCATGTGGCCTGGCAGGGCACAGGGTAATTCCGACAGTCCATTGGCACCATTGGTATGATTGGTACCAATAGAAAATATCACTCCAATGGCTCTGTTGGTGAATATGCATCTCATTAAGGGCACTTAGATTATCATGGCCTAAGGAAACTCGCTTAATATTCTAGAAGAAGCCAATGGGTGACAAGGAGACATTCAAACCTCCGCTGTTTTTCCAAGGCAACAGGTGCAATCCTGAAATCATCAGTAGATTGATTCTTCTCGCTCAGTCCTGGGCCTCATCACAAGCTACAGCCCAGAAAAGAGAGCGCCAAATACAATTTGTCAACAACAACGTTGACAGTAAAAGACATCAATGGTTTTTCTACGACCTTGATTATAGGAAACTATTGTACCTCAAAGGGTTACCACGACAAACCCCATGACAGCAGTGAAAAGTGACTTCAGTCACTTGAATATAACACGGCTCTTTTAGGTGCCACCAAATACAATACAAAGAACCACCCTTTTTGAAAGCCCTTCATTGAACACAGTGTTTTGGTTTAAACACTTCCATGTAGATAATGATATTGCAATAAGTTTCCGAAGTTAATTTTCACAGTGAGCGGAGTACAGTTGTTAAAACCTGTAGCCTCAACATCACTTTGTTAGTTTCGCGCCTTTCCACATTGTTTCCGGTTCTTTTAAAGAAGTAAGAATCACCAACACATAGTGCTTGCATGTAAGAAAGAAGACATTCACATGTCACATTGTTGTTTCCTCGTGAATCACAATTATCTCGTTGAATCATGAGTTTAGCGACGACGAATCCTTTGGAAGTATTGTCAGTGATGCCCTGATGAGTACCCTTGGAACTGAGGAAGAAAGCTCCAGTGAGTTTGTTCATGAAAATGCATCACAAGATTTGCCGCAACCCTTGCCAGCCCTTCAGCTACTCCCATCACTTTTCAGGCTAACCAGCGAGTGTCATCATATCCAGCCACCTCCCAGTCACAGTAAGCGTACGTGTGCCAGCCCGTCCCATGAGCTCCACTGCAATCCATTGAACCAAATTTTCCAGAGCCAAAGCTTTCTTTGAGTGGACAACGTATGCTTTTGCCTGCACCAACATTCTGTTCAGCGAAGAAGAACTAGCTAAAGGCAACACGGGACAGAAGTAAGAGGATTTCAACAGCTAGACTGCTATAAAATGCACCTGATTATGTCAACTTTGCAGCACAAGTTTGATTCGCCAGTCTTTAAATAACAATGGG